CACCTTCCAGAAGCCCAAGGTGTCTTGTTAGAAGTTTTCTAAAGCTTAATCCCAGCACCAAGTCCCTTCCCTGAGGTCACCTGGCAGGACAAACATTCCAACCCTGTAGTTGGTTGGTCTTCTGATGATTGGCCCCATCCTGAGTCTAAGGAGGATCCTCCTCTAAGCTACCTCATTAGCATGAACTCAGGTGTGATGGGGGCGTGAGGGGGTGGGGGTGGAGGTGGAGGGGCTAGTGAATAGCAAAAGACCCTCCCATCACTCAGCAGAGTCCAAGGGTCTTATGTCTGGAACCAGGGACTATGATCCAACACCATAATGGAAGCTACTCCTCTCACCCCCATCACTCAGAAAATTAAAGGTTTTATTTATTTTTTCATTCATTTATTCACTTACTTATTTGTTGGTATCAGGGATTGAACCCAGGGGCACTTAACCATTAAACCATATCCCCAGTCTTTTTTTTTTTTTTTTTACTAGCTACACATGACTGTACAATGATCTTGACAATTCATGCATTTGAATCAAATGGGGTATAATTTCTCATTTTTCTCAGTCTTTTTTTTATGTATTTTTTTACTTTGAGACAGGGTCTCACTAAGTCCTTAGGGCCTCACTAAGTCCTTGAGACCTCACTAATTTGCTGAGGCTGATCTTGAACTTGAAATCCTCCTTCCTGGGCCTAACAAGTTCCTGGGATTTCAGGCATGTGCCACCATGCCTGGCTTCAGGGGCTTTTGTTGATCTGTGCCAGGAACTGGGATAAAGACAAAATATATATGTTCTTATATCACAGTATCACAGATTCTTCATAGACCCTCCCACAGGGTAGCAGATAACTTCTAGACCACAAGGGAAATGTCTTTTTAAAGCTGTCATCTGATTAAGTCAGGCTCACCCAGATAATCTCTCGTCTCACTAATTCAAAATCAACTGATATGGAACCTTAATTACATCTGAAGATTCCCGTCACTTTTGCCACATTCTATGGACTAGATGTCAATTGCAGGTCAACCCACACTCAAAGGGAGGAGAATATGCAGGGGTAGGTTTTTAGCTTATCTGAGATATCTTTTGGTCATCAAAAATAGTAGATTTTGCATATTTTCTTAATATTATAATGATGAAACTAGACACTATCATTATTATCACTATCATCATCTTTAATCAAATCACCTCTGAATGATGAGAGGGTTCCATTAGGAAAGATTAGGCCCTCTTCCCTGCTTCTATACCCTGCCCATGGCATTGGGTTTATGGTTAACTGCTGCACACTTCTGGCTCATATTCAGCCTGTTTCTAATTATGATCCCCCCTCCAGTCTTGTGAAAGTTCTGTTTAAGATCCATGTACCACAATCAAAGATGTTTTCTCCAACTAAGAACTCACTTGCCTGATGAGACCCCATCCAGCTGATGCTAGAAATAAATCTAAGTTTAATGACACAGATCCTGAAATAATGTTAACTCCTGAGATCATGAAGAGGCTGATGGTGACGGTTAAACAAGAGAGATGTTAGTAATTTTCTGCAGGAAGGCCATGGATGGAGATTCAGAGAGGTCTCACTGAACACCAGTCACTAAGCAGCAGGAAAAACACTGGTTCCTTTTCAGACGCTAAATTTCAACGATTTTCCAATATAATACAAAGCAAAAGGGAAAGTATGGAACACTGATTACTTGACATTTTAGCAGGCCACTTCTACAGGCAGTAAATGAGCAGGCAGAGTCAAAATAAAGATAGAGCAGTGTGAGAGACGTATTAAACAGTATGCTAAAAAAAATTAACACCCAGGGGAATTTTTGTTATAAGTTTCTACTTTTCTTAGATTCAACATTGATATGTTTTTCTCATTTAGGTTCACTAAGTAATGTTTATTATTAATTCAAATTCTCAATATTGAAGGGGAGATATTTCCCATATGCTTGACATGCTGCTCCGTAGGTTCATAAATTTGGAAGAGTTTTGATTAACACTGACAGAAAACCCTTTGAAAACATATGGCTGTATATACATCATGTCATTTCTCATAACATGACACATCCTTCTTCGCTTTCCCTAATAAGATGAGTTCAGTCGTATTTAAGAAACATGATAATACATTGTTGATTTCTCTTTATGGGAGAGAAAAATGAGTAAAAATAAACTGTTTCATTGTTGCGGCAGACGCTGAAAAGCATAGCAGATAGTGGGAATTAAAATGAGAACGAGAAGAGTGTTATCTTTAAGCACTTTTTAAAGACTAAATTAACATGCTGTAAATCTAAAGTGTTTTTTAGCCCCTCCCATTTCCTCCTTCGTGATTCTGATCCTGAACCCCAATAAAATGACTGGGAATCCATCTTATGCCCACCAGGTTGCAGACCTTGTCCCTTAGGGCCTCACTGATTGCAATTTCCATGCCTTTTTTTGGCCCCGAGACATTCTCATCCGTGGTATCTCACAGTTCCACCTGGACATCTACCTCTTTCTTAGATGGATGAAAGGATGAGTTTATAGCCCTTTTGTCCTTCTTCTCTTCTCTTCCCACTTTGTGCCACAGGATGATGTCAAGAAGTCCTTGGCCAGTTGCAAACACCTTGACCTTGGACTTTGCAGCTTCTAGAATTGTAAGAAATCTCTCTCTCTCTCTCTCTCTCTCTCTCTCTCTCTCTAAATAAATAAATAAATAAATTGCCCATCTCAGGTATTCTGATATAGCAGCACAAAATGGACAAAGACAGACGAGATACCAGTTAGGTAGCACTCTGTCCTCAAACTCAGAGAAGAACATGAAGAGGAACCAGTTATAGTGAGAAGGCTATAAAAGAAGAGTTACCCACACCATATTGTGGCAAATAGAAGGTATGGACAACCATGCAAATGTCCTTTAGAAAAGAGAGAGTTACAGAAGTTACAGAGAAGATTGGAATAGAACATAGATGAGAGACCCACTCTGGAAGAAAACAACTTCAAGTTAAACAGAAGAAAAATCCTTCCAAGTAATTAAGTGCTTCATGCCACAGAGGAACTTACTAACAACATAGAGTCAGTAAGCAGAGCAGAAAAGTGAGAATAATAACATAACAGAATGAGAAGGAAAAAAAGACTAGAACGATAACTAAACCACTGGGAACTAGCCAGGGTTACAGCCATGTGCCACCACACCGGCTAGTTTTGAGTGTTTTAATTCTAATAAAGGACAAAAATCTATGAAACAAAAGAACTCGATCTGCAGATCAAGAAGGTACACTAAGTTCTGAAGGGAAAAAAAAATGATGGATGAGCCCATGTAGAGCTGTGTCCTGGTGGAAATAATAAACTCAAGAATAAAGAATTCTTCAAACTATCAGTAAAAATAAGCCACCAGCAAAGGGACTATAATGTTCAATGTCAAAATATGATAGGCCCTTTTTACAAAGTTCTGAGGAAAAGGAAATGATTTGTTAAAATGTTATATCAAGACATTCACTGTTTGACTCTAAAGGCCATGGACAGGCATTCTCAAACACGGCGGGGAGATCAGTGAAATCTGCATCCATGCACTATTTTTTGAAAGAATTTTCAGCAGAGTGAGGCAGCCAGTCAAGAGATGAAGCAAATATAGAATTGAGGGCTAGAGACATTGAAATTTAAAATATGTGTGACAATGATGAACCCAAGCAATCTAGACTAAACTCAAAAGTGAGAATTTGTGCAATAGAATATACACATTACAAACCTGGAAAAGTCTATAAAGTAATATAACTAATAAAATTAGAAGGACTGGGGAGGGAGAGGAGAATAAACATAAAAGAACTCATCTCACCTTCATTAGAGATGCACATTCCTCATAAATTCCACTAGTAAAAAAAAAAAAAACTATGACTTAACTTTGTAACATTTTTTATATTTATTTTAAAATTTATAATGATCATTTAGGAAGCAATCTCCCTTAGGAGAGAGAAACTTTGATTTGTGGTTTAATTGTTCTCTATGTTGACTCACTTTTTTTATGATATTAAGAACAAGTAAAATTCATCTCTTTTAAAATAGTCTGCTAAATGTAATGAGAGATCCTGGATTGGATCAGGGAATATAAAAAAAAAAGGACATTAGTGGAAAAGCTAATAAAAGTCAAATAAAATCTGGAGTGTGGTTAATGGTAACGTACCAGTGTTGATTTCTTAGCTGTAAGTACCATGGTAACATAGATGTTAATATTAGCCGTCTGGGTGAGGAGTAGATGGAAACATTATGTACCGTATTTGCAACTTTTCAGTAAATCTAAAATAATTCCAATATAAAGAGTTTTCTAAAAATATTATGAATCAAATCCATCTAACCTTTCATTTGCATCTTTGTGAGGAATAAATCTAGGATTATACTTATTGAAAAGGAACACTTGCTATTTCTGGGTAGTTGACTTCAGGGTCATCTATCCCTTCCTTTGCATATTTTGGTTTTGACTTGAAGTGAATAGCAAACAATTATTACTTTTATTACAAGTCATTATTATTCCAATTTTTTTAAAAAGCCAACAAAATAGTGTTGTAGATAAAGATTAGTGAGATATGTTTATGATATAACAAGAATAAAGCAGAAGACAAAATAAAGGGGTCATAATTTTACTTTTTAAAAATATATTTATAAGGCTGGGGCTGTAGCTCAGTGGCAGAGCACTTGCCTAGCATGGGTGAGGCAGTGGGTTCAATCCTCAGCACCACATGAAAATAAAAAAATAAAATAAAGGCATTCTGTCCATCTACAACTACAAAAAAATTATATATATAAAATAAAATAAAAACAAAATGACTGGGATGGAGCTCCATTCAATTATTTCCTGTGCTTGTCTTAGGAGTTTTCATTTTCTTCTTCATGCATTTAGAATTTTTACAGTGTTTAGCAATGGGTACACATTTATAATAACTGAAAAATAAACACAGTTTCACTGTTATCCAGTGAAGTTGGGACTGGCAGTTGGCGAGTCTGCTGGAAAAGTTAATTAAAGCAGTGAATCATAAAATGTGATACATACATACCTTAAAGATTTAATTTTAACTTGGAACATATGGATGTTCGCGGACTTGCCACTCTTTTGATGTCGAGCCAAGACCCTTTCTTTGAGCCGGGGTCTGCTGATCTGAGTTCCAAGCAGTCTTGCCTTCAAAGCCACCCATAATGCATCATCCAGAAGTCCCCGTTTGGGTTTCTTTAAGACCTGATGAGCCCTTGAAGACACTTATAAAATCATTTCTCTACATTTCTTGTCTTCTCCCAGTTTTTAATGTGTGTTTCACACACACTTGATTTGATAGTAATTTATTGAGTAATTAATCATTGTTAAATCTTTCATCAGTTTACGTTAGAGTATGTGAATAATGAGCATATAATATTAGCATAACCAGCATGAATAAATTTGGGAACCTGCGTGGCTGACTCTCAGCCATTGCAACTAGTCGGGAAGGAAACCGTGCATTTTGGTACTGCATCTGACGGTGAGCATGCATTGTATTTGGGGCATCAGCCAGAAGGTCCTACTGGGGAAGCAGCCTGATCTGTTCTGACCAGGAGGTCACAGGAACTCCCATCTAAAGCAAAAGACTGGCTGCTTTCAGTCTTGCTGCCTGGGGTGCAGCAGGAACAGGTGAGCCACAGATCTCCTCTCTCTACCTGCTCTCTCCCTACCTGACCTTGGGTAACTGTGATTCCTTCTCTCCTGGCCCAGTACAGATGAATGACTAGCATCTGGTTCTTTTCTAGTTAGTCCCACACTAGAAGCCAATAATGGTACTTCATAGTCCACATGGGTAAACTGAGGTCCTGTGAAGTGGCCAAGACCTTCAGTTACTATTTGGTGGACCCAGGTTTCCACCCAGATCTAAGTTCTGACTCTAAGGCACTACTCTAAAGATCCACCCTAGCAACCTTCATTAGGGCCATGGGGTTGATGATTAAAGAAGGATGTGAAAGGACACAAAGAAGGCACTTTAAAAATTATTTATTACATAGTGCAAGACGACTTTGCCCTATAAAATCTCATGACATCTCATTTCTCTGAGTCTTAAAATCATTAGTTATTAAAAAATAGTGGGCTTTGCTTTATCCCCCTGTCCTATATGTGCAGGATAATACATTGCCATCTTTCTATTTGGAGCCTGGAGTACAGCATCACAAGTGTCTTTGGGACTATCTGTAGCCAAAATGATCCTCAGTTTCACCAATACTGCCTTTAGTACCAACTCACATTCTCAGACTGAAGATGTTCAGCAGAGAATCTGACCTCTCTGTTAAGTACCAATCAGCTCTCCTCGGTGCTTCCTAGATATACACTCTGGTCTCCCTAGCATCACCAATTCACCTCTTTCTTGGTGTCATTAGCTTACACTGATGTTCATAAATTTCATTCTTTATGTTATTTCTTCTTTTGTAGCTAAGCTGCTCCAATAAGTTGTCCCAATTTGCTCTCCACTTCTTTATCAGTCTTCTCACATTCCACTTCTCACCAAGGGCACTAATGGCCACCATCTTTCCCATTCCAATGCACTTCTGTTCTCATCTTTCCTCACCTCTCAGGAGCACACAATTGACACCTTTGACTGCACATTACTTTGTGAAATGCTTTCTTATCTACTGCTACACGGCATCTTATTTTCCAGGTTTTTCTTGCAACTCAGTGAACCCACCTCATCTCTTCCCGTGACTTCAGCTCAATCTCTCAAGGTTGAAAGACCAAAATCTAACTTCTATGTCCTATGTTGACTTCATGTAATCCACTGAATTTAAGTACAATCTATACACTGATGGTTTCTACTTTTATCTCCTGTACTCCTCATCTCCCCTGAGCTCTAGATCCATTCATCGTCCTACTTGATATGTGCATTGATTCCAATAAAAGTATCTCCAGTGTAACATAGAAAATAAACTTTGAGGGCTGGGGATACAGCTGTCGGTAGAGTGCTTGCCTCACATCACAAAGCCCTAGGTTCAATCCCCAGCACCAGAAAAAAGAAAGAAAGAAAGAGAGAGAGAGAGAGAGAGAGAGAGAGAGAGAGAGAGAGAGAGAGAGGAAGATAACTTTGATTACTGCAAGTCAGAAGATCTATTCACCATTCCATGTCTTGCCCAGTGGATAACTAACATCTCGAGTTACTCAAGGAAGAAAAATCTAGATGACATCCTCGATTAGTTTCCCTTATAACCAGTGTCATTCAGGATTCAGTTCTCCAGAACTGCCTCTAAAATGCCCACCTCTCTCACAGCTTTGCTCTCCCTCGGGTCCAGGTCAGTGTCATTTCTTACCTGGCCTGGTGTGACGTAAGGCCTGAGGTGAAGGTCCGGTATCTGTGCTGTCTTGACATCTGGTGAAACGGGAAATGTTGAAATGGCCCAACTGCAAATTCTCCTCCCTGCTCTGCTCCTGCAGATAAGATCTCCTGTCCAGACAGCCCTCCTCATCCAAGACACCAGGGCCTCATCCAAGCCCTGCTTATCCCTGGGTACCAGGTTTCTGTTCTCTACCAGCTGCAGAATTAGTCAAACCAACCAATTTCATTTCCCTGTGGGGACCAGGGGGTACCCTGCCCTCTTGATTCTGCAAAGCCAGCCTCTCACAGCCCCTGATGTCACTCTGTTCTCAAGTACAAACCTCAAGTACTTGGCACGTGGTATCTCTCTCCCAGGCTGCAAGTACATGTGACTAAAAAACTGTGGTCTATATCATCTGTCCAGGGCCCTGTGACGGTCAGCCTCCTAACCCTGGGATGGGAATCCCTCCCCCCCCACCACCGTGGTGTGATAGGAGTTGATGGAATCTCCCGGCTTCCACTAAAGTCTCATTTCAAATGTTTTCTCTGCTAAGAAATTCCTCTTGAATGCATTCCCCGTTACCTTCTCTCATCTTCTGTGCAGCACTTGTTACTGTCTGAATGATCTTGTTTATGAGTGGTTTCTTCTTCTTCTTCTTCTTCTTCTTCTTCCTTCTTCCTTCCTCCTCCTCCTCCTCCTCCTCCTTCTTCTTTTTTAATTTTGGCACATTTTAGTGTTTGGCACATTCCACTAGAATTTGATCTCCACATTCGTGTCAGCAAATTCATTGGATCCACTTTTAAATGTCCCCTGTGGGTAGACGTGTCTGTCCCCACCCGGGCCTCATCCAAGCCCCAGCTGATGCCTTCCCTCACCCAAACAGTTGTGCTCACCACTTCCTAGCTCTGTTTTTACAGCGTACATGGGAACCCTTTAAAGGTGAGAGTTAGACCTGGCCGCCTCTGTTCACAGATCTTCCCCCTGCCCACGGCTCCACCTACTCAGAGTCAGAGTCTGCAAACTCATGACTTCCTGTGCCTCCCTGCCTCCATCTCCAGCCCTCTGCCCCCAGTCACTGTGCTCCAGGTCCCTGGCTCAGCTTGCTGTTCAGGGCTTTTGCTGTCCTTGTCCTCTCCATCCAGAAAACTCTTTCCCCCAATTCCTTCTGCTCAAAGTCAGTTTTTTGTCACTATAACAAATACTCGAAGCAGGCGGCTTATGAAGAAAAGAAGTTTAGCCTACATTTTGTTGGTTCTAGGGCATGACACTGGCACAGACTTGGTTTTGGGGAGAGTCCTCCTGGCTGCGTCCCATCATGGTGGGGGGCTATGGCAGGAGCCATTGGTGATCACATCCTGAAGTAGGAAGCCAGAGAGACACTCAGGGTCAGGCTGGGGCTTTTATAACAACTCACTCTCATAGGAGCTCACTCTAGGGTACCAGTACTTCCTTCCAAGGATAGTGCCCGCGAGGACTAAGGATCTCCACTAGGCCCCCTTCATAAAGGCTCCACAGAACCCCACACCACCACCTTGGGGGTCAGGATCCTAGTACGTGGACCCTTGGGGACAAACCCACCCAAGCCCTCACAGTCACCATGTCAAAGCTGTCACGATTCCCACTTTTCCCTCTCTGTCCTGATCCTCTTCTTTATTCTCAGCTTTATCATCTTTTTGGTTGTTGTTGGCTAATTTGTTTATTCTCTATGTACCCTGCTAGATTGCAGGAGGAAGAGGGACTCTCTCTGGCTCACTACAGTGTCCCCAGAGCTTAGGTCCTAGGTTAGGGCTTGAAATATATTTCATTAATAAGGTCTTGTCTTGCTTACCATTGTATCCCTGGTGCCTTAAACAACATGTGACATGCCAGAACAATAATTTGGAAATAGCAAGAACAGTTGAAATTTGTTTAGCACTTACTATGTGCCAGACACTGTTCTCAGCTCTTGGTATGTGTTATCATTATTTATAATAACAACTCTGTAGGATAGGTTTTATCTATCTATCTATCTATTTATTTTTCAGTGTGGAAGATTGAACCCAGAGCCTCACATACGCTAGGCAAATGCTCTTCCACTGAGCTACATCCCCCGACCACTGGCCAGGTGTGTTAGCTTTTATATTCATAAATGAGGAAAGTGAGACTCAAAGGAGCTAAGGAACAGGTTCAAAGTCACATGCAGAGTCAGTAGAGCCATTGGGATTCAAAAGCGGGCATGTGACTTCAGATTGGGAACTATTAACCACTGTAAATGAATGGCGTCAGATGTTTGTCAGCGATTCTCCTTGGGCCCATTGGTACCCATGATGAGACAATGATCACCCAGGTCAGCAGTTCCATCTACTATCACCGGAAGATAAAGTGCCGGCCAGTATCAGATTGTATAGAAAGTACCACCTGAAACACCCCTGTCACACCTGGGCTGCAGGAAAAAATGGAAAGAAAGATTGTATCTTTTAGTTGCTTACTTAACCCTCAGAAGGGTTAAAAGCCACTGGTTTTCAAAAAGGAGAACTCCGTATCCTAATTTATGTCTGTCTATCTCTCGACTGTCAGCAGGAATGTAGAAGGTCAACTCGGGCTGCACCCATAGGTGTTTCATAAGCTAAATGGTGATAAAGAATTAGATCAGCCCAAAGCCAAGGCAGGCAAGGAGGCAAATATGCACTTCACAGCCCGTTCCTCACAGGATGTAAATCACAGCCACCCCAAGATATAGTAGGTGTTCACTCAAGTTTCTCTGTGGGTTTTCATAGCCCTTCCACTATTGTGTTTGAAGTAAAACTTAATAAAATTCCAGAAATGAATTTGAAAAGGTATTGGTACCAAGAGATTAACTCAGGAGGTTTCGGAGGAAGTACCCTCCACGTGATTGACTGCAGGGAGAGGAGTCTCCCCCCACAGGCCTCAGGATGCGGAGTCAGCCTGAGCATGGGAGGCCTGCACCCCCCAATCCCCACCCGCCCCACCCCACCCCAGGAAGCCTCGCTCCTTTATGGGCTGTTGGCAGCAGGCAGAACCCAGCTTTAGGTCCCTCCCACCGCCATGAGGCTCTGCAGCCTGCGGTCCATCTGGAAAATCGATTTTTCAAACTCAATCAAGCTCACGAGGTAAGAAGCAGAAAGCAACTATTTTGACCTTAAAGGCCTTAAGAACATCAGCAGGTTTTGTCAACAGAGACCAAGCGCGGGGAGAGTGGAGGCACTGCCAAGATCGCTGCAGCCCCATGCAACACCCCTCCCCGAACTCTGACCAGCAGCCCCTCCCTCGCTCCCCCCAAATGAAAACTTTCCCATAAAGAAAAAAGTATCGACCAGAGTAATTCACACCAACTGCGTCCGTTGACCTCACCAGAAACACCTCTGTGTATCAGATCCAGGGATCTAAAGGTCACAAGAGCTGCTGTGCTGAGTGGGTTGGGATGGACCCTGGTGGAGGTGGCTGAGACCCCACTGGGACCTTCGCTGTGAGTTAGGTTGACATTAAAATTGAAGCAGGCTGGAAGAGTCACGTTATGCCCGGCAGCCAGGCAGGTGACCCCAACTAGCTAATGATGCTTCGGTGAGAGGCAAACCCCAGCAATTTTCACTTCATTCTTTTCCAGCATAGAGCAAATGTTCCCATATAGCATGACATTTAAACTTTGCAATACAGCATGATGGGAACACAAATGCGGAACAGCAAGGATTTTTCAGAAGGGACCACTACAAGGGTCAAGTTTGGAACTGAGGGTCAGGTCCATCTACGGCCACCTAATGACAGAGAGAAATCCTGGCCACAACTCCTCCAGCCCAGCATTTGCTGTGTTCAGAGTTTGGGGGAATCACCACCCGGCTCTCAAAGTGCCTACCAGGCTCTCAGGGGACCTGGTGTGCCATCAGTAAAGGCCTGTGGCATTCTGCCCATGGTTAAAATAGAGTGAAACAAGCCTGGAACTTGGCTGATAGGTGGCTCTATCCAACATCTGGGCAATATTCTGAAATTGAGTAGAGTACAGAATTTAGATTCTACTCTAAGGAATTCTGTGGACCCAGAGAGGAGGAGGCTGGTGCAGCTGAGCTTCTCACCCACCCAGGGGGCTCCAGCTCCCGCCCAGCCTGCTGGTGGTTGTACCATGTCATAGGAGGGTGCTGCCCACCGTGTGCAGCCTGGGACTGGAGCTAAGCCCAGGGAAAGCGCAGCTTGATGGGTACTTATGATGCACCATACCACGAGGAATGGACCTTCAGCTGCCTGTGGTGCAGTCCCATGACCAGTGTGCAGGGCAGGCCACCCAGGCACGGACAGGCACAGCTCTGAAGTATGGGGCACTTAACGGTCCTAGAGAAATTCTCAACCAACAGGAGACAAAGATTTGTGGCTAAATAAATATCCTAGTCTCTCCCCCCACCTCCATTTTGGGAGATTCTCTAGAAATTCTGAGTCTCCACGGTTGCTTTAGGTCTCCCAGCAGAACTGAGCCCCGTAGGCCCATAGCAGCGTTTACTAACTGCAGTGAATGCTGGTCACTCTCTCTTCTCTGCCCATGGCCCCCTCCCTCACATCTGCCTCCTGCCCCGTCCCACCACCACCAAATGAACTGCCCGCACTAAAGTCCTTGTCAAGATTCTGCTTCAGGAAACCCAAATGGAGCACCAGCCAAAAAAGGACTGAGGGAAAACAGACACATGTGCACCCGCATAGTCCCCTGGGCCTGGCAGCATCCGCCCCTAAACCTTTCTGACATTTGAGCCAATTAAGTTCTCTTCCCTTTTTCTATTTTACTTAAAGCAACCCGCCTTAGACATTTCATCATTTGCAATGATAAAGCCGCCCAAATAGGACGAGAGCTTTGGTATCTCTGATAATGACAATGATGCACACCTATGTGCTCTTCTTCTTTTTTTTTAAGATTTTTTTTAAAGATAGAAAGAATTTTTTAATATTTATTTTTCAGTTATCGGTGGACACAACATCTTTATTTTATTTTATGTGGTGCTGAGGATCGAACCCAGAGCCCCGCGCATGCCAGGCGAGCGCGTTACCGCTTGAGCCACATCCCCAGCCCCCATGGGCTCTTATGCTGACAACGTCTCCATAGGCCACCACATGGCACACTGTAGATACAAATACCAGCATCAAGTAAGTGGACTCTATCTCATGTTCTGACTGCCCCTTGTTCAGAAGAGATAAGAGTGGCATTTTTATATATCATCTGGT